GTGGATCTGCTATTACATGGATCCTCCAGTTGATTAGCCTTGTAGCTGAAATATCAGCCTGAATGTCACTCCATGGCTAGGGTTAGAAATGGTTAGGTTGTGAAGAAGAAAAAATTCCCCTCCCTAAATAGGAAAATCTTCAATGTAGAGCCTGTTGGCAGCCATCTTGTATTCATTTACTTTAGCCCTAGATTAAGGTAATTGTAGAGATTAATTTTACAATATTTTTTTTCATTTTTAAACCCAGTTTTGTCCCACATAGGGGTTTTTCATTTCTTTCCTGTTGCTAAGAAGAAAAGTTGCAGGGAACCTGAGTGTGTGTGTTTTAAAACATCCATGACTGATCCATGTACAAGTGACTGAGATCAGTAACTGCATCTACTCATTTTGTTTTTCACATTGCTGCTCTTGAAGGTAAATTACAAGATGATGAGTTTGTCCACCTACATAATAATGAAAGTTAAATGTGTAAGCTTCCAAATTATATTATGAGCTTGATTCACTTCAGTTTCCTACTAGTGGAATTGTACTGTTTTCAGGGGAGTTACATTAATATTATACTGGAGTAATGCAGTAGTAAATCAGGCCTCACATTTCTTGGATTGATGGTTTAGTTTTGTCACTAATGCTTCATATTAAAGTATATGGGATGAATTCATTGCTGTGTAACGCAATCAATGTAATGAAAAATCTACTAAACCACTGTACTTCTGAATGTAGTGTCTCAGTAAGAATGAGTAATGAATGAGTTTTTATTATTTCATAATTTGATAATAAGATTAGTTACTGTGGTCTCAACAGAGGATTTGGAACTAAGACCTAATTCTAATCCTTGTTATCCCATGGACTCTATAACCACTTCATTGGGCAAGTCATGTAGGCTTCAAAACAGCAAAGTACTTGACCATATGTCTTACTTCACCACAAGTGGTGCAATTGTATTCAGTGGGACTACTCCCACACTTAAAATCATGATTTGCTGGTCTAGGAACTTTAATATCTGCCAATTTCCACATTTTCAGAACAAGGCTAACAATAACAACTCCAGGAGGTAGTGTGAAGATTCATAAAGTAATGTTCATGCAGGGGTTGGGGTATGTACATTACTTTATTAGCAATGAGTATAGTTAATAAGTAACAATGGGGAGGGAGAGAAGGACATACGGAGTTCCTGCAACTTCTGTTGACTTCATTGGGGACTGAGAATACACAGCAACTCTCAGGATGAGGCCTTCATACAGCACTTCCTGGCTCAATATAAAGAGTTACATAGTGTATTTGACTGAATCATGAAGGAAAAAATGTTTGTTCTGGGAAGATATGGGATAAATACTATGCAGTGGCAGTCCTTTATATGCTTAATTCATTCATATTTCACTGTGAGATTAATGACTGCAATTATTATCAGGAAATAATAGCTCCACTGTGTTCAGTTTGTTGCTTAAGAGTTGTATAAAGTGTTTGCTGTTGCTATAGGTAATTCGGCCAATGATACAAAACAAACATTAATGTTCCCTTTCAACAAGAGTGTGTGTGTGGGGCCCATCATAGTTGAAGTACATGTGAACTTAGAGCAGCAGATTAATAAACTAGCATCTATAACATTTTGATTTTTCTTTGCAGCCATTTTCTGTAGCATTGCAAAGGCCTTGGTGGTGGTAAAAGATTAAAATTCAACTGCATCTTGAGGAATGAGGTAAACCCTTTTAACAATTTTCTTACTGAACGATTCTACATAGAATTTTTATACTCCAGGAGCAAATTGTCCTGGGATTAAATAGAGGCATGTTGTATTGCTGATTTTGTCTGTAGCAGAATTTGTAACAGATGTATATGTTTGCTTGTCTTTTTAGTTTTTGTACTACTTGTCACTTTTCCCATCAGTTTTAGGAAGCATTTAGGCCAACATTTTCAAACGTATGTGGCTAAAGTTACTCCTATTTATGTACTTTCCCAGTAGCTAGCATCACTGTCACATGTATTGAGCATCTATAGCTTTCTTTGACTTCAGTGAGAGTCACGAGTGCTCAGTATCTCTGCAAATAAGGTACTGGAATTCTTATTTAGGTAATTAACTTTAGGCAACTACATGTGGAAGTTTTGACTTACGTTAATTTGACAGCTACAGAGAAACAGGGAAATATTTTTGATAAGGAAGGAAAAGTTTCACATGTTTTCTGGACTTCTTTGTGTAGTTCTCAAATCTGCTCATCTGGTCCTTCATTTTCCTTTGGAAACCAGGTGAAGTATTTTGAATTTATGAACATTAAAACTCTTCCCTGCTTGTGACTAGTGCTATGATGACAGAACTCAACTGCAGTCAATAGAGTTTTGCTAGCAATTGAGTGTACCTTCAGAGTTGTCAAATCCACAGCTTGAACCCGGTGGGATTATAACCGGTCTATAAAATCAGACAGTGACATACACATGGTCTGAGTTGTGGATATTCTCCCTGGTTTGATTCAGTTGATGAAATCATATGTCATACCAGTGGTGCTGAAAATGGCCCTGACTGCCCTGTCCTCTGTAGTCATATCAGCTACTGTTGTCCTTCTGGGCTTGTGGCTGAGATAGGACTGCTTCATTGCAGGTCAATATACATACTGCTGAACAGGAGATGTGACCTCTTTTGGCACTGCTGGAGTCCCTAACAAAGGCCGAAAAATTGCCATATGTTTACTTTAATGGATGTTTCCTGTCGATGAAAGTAAGTTAATAGGAAGAGAGTTGCAATGGACAGTGTTATATCCATAACCTATAGAGTTAACTAAACTCCAAGTGTCTCCTCTCCTTCCTGAATAGGCAGGTGTGGATGGAAAGGGTTTATCTCAAAACATTCATCTCCAAAGAGCACTTAGTTCCATGGCATTGTCCCCTGTGGGAGGCCTGAGCTGCTCCAGCAGAATGCACAGAGCCTGAGCTTCGATGAGATCAGCAGAGGAAAAATCAGGCGGATTTCAGGCCATCCACGCAACAGAGCCCTGGCTCAGCAAATAGCTCAACACTGTGGTGGTTTGGTCACTCTATTGATAGCAGCTATCCCACCGTGGCTTGTACTGCTCAGATCCTTCCAAGGGGTTCATATTGCATGCAGCATCAATTTATGCCACTTTCACTAGCATTACACATGCTGATTTCTGGAGGGGTCATGGACAGAGCGACATATTTCCCTGCATCTTCCTATTGCTGGCTGGTCACAACTCCTGGCCCCACATGCACTGCAGCACACCAGCTGTGTTGAAATGAGAAAGTGTACCTGGTTCAATAAACTGCTGTATTAATTTGTGTGACAGAGGGGCCTATGAATCCAAAATGAGATTAGGGTCCCATTGCATTAGGCATTGAACAGGCATAGAAAAATACAGTCCTTACCCACAAGTGTTTAAAATCTAAATAGAGAAGGAAAACAAAGTGTGAGAAAGGAAATAGAGGTAAAGGGACATGGTCTAGGACACTCAGCTGAGATGAGAGTCGTGGAATCTCCAGATCCCCGGCAGGGTATAATCACTGGACCACACTGCCTTTCACTGCTATAGTTAAATAGGTGCAATCATTTTTGTGTAAACATTTTTATTTTATTTAAAAAGCCATGTTTTAATTTACCTTGAGTCAGTAGAGAATTGATTTTTTTTATGGTAAATCAATATTTGGGGCTCTTAAACTGAAATACTAGTATCCACCTCGGCAGTACCACTTATCTAACTGAAGTCGTTTCTAAACCAAGCTAATTAACTAAATACCATTTCCTCCTGTAGGCAAGCCCAGAGATTAGTTTGCTACATGGTGAGTTAGAGCAAACTGTGCCTCCTTTTCCCACTCCAAGCTGTCGTCTGACCTATGTTGCATGTATATGCCACCATTTTGGTCTCCTTCGCAGGGGTATAGGTGAGCCTATGGCCCAAATATATTTGGGTAACACTGTGTCATTGAGCAAATGCACTGCAGAAAAACAAATAGATAAGTAACTTATGAACTGTAGCTTTTGAGCCATGCTGAAATTATGCTTGGCAAAGTAAATCAATTTAGAACACTTTTAAGGATGGATTTATATTTAAATGGACTGAAAGGGAAATCTGATCAATGTAATATATTAGGAGCACAGTTCTTCTAGGGATCTACCCCTCACTGAATGTTGTAATGAAGGAGATGCAAGGGTCAGGATGACTAACTTTTCATTTTGGGACACCTGATCTACATCATGCATTACAATGAGTTTGGTGGTGACTGCCTACTCCCTAACAGACACTTGTGCACAGCATAACATTTGGAATGAAGATCTTTGCTCAGGACTGGAATGGCAGAGTCAGTTGTAGTTTAGGATTATGGCTCATAGGTAGGCTTTGGATAACTGTTACACTCCTGATTACACTATACCAAGTATTAATTAGTGCAATAAAGCCTCAGTCCAACAAAACACACACAACTTTCTGTGTTAATGATCCCATTTACTACACTCTCATCCTTAAATTTACATGTTTCAGTGCTTAGCTAGATTAGGGGCGGAGTCTCTAAGGCTATGTCTACACTGTGGAGCTACTTCAGGATACTGGAAGTATCCCAAAATAGCTATCCCGTGTCTTTAAAGCAGCCCATTACTTTGAAATAGATTTCAAAGTAACGGGCGCACTGTTTCAGTGTCCCCGTAACCCTTGTTCCACAAGGGTTAAGGGATGTTTTGGAATAGTGCTTTATTTCGAAATAACCTATTTCAAGGTAAGGGTGCAGTATAGATGCACCCTAAATTACATAGTGAAAAAGAAGACTATTATATACTAAATAGTACTGAGGTTAATTTATGCCTACTGTTGATTATTAATATCAACAGTAGTGTTGTAACTAAATTCCCATGTACTGTTCTGAAAAAGTGCTAATTAAACTAATGGTAGCAGAACACATTAGTCATAGCTTTAATTGCTTTACTTTGTTCCGTAAAATTTATGTATTCTGTGCAAAGGTGTTTCAAAAAGCAAACTAAATTGCTCGTCCAGTTACATTTTTATCTCTTTCACAATGCATATCTTGCTAGAATTGAAATGCTTGTTAAACTCATTGATCATTTGCACCATGGCAATATGTGTCAAGTGTTTGTATGTGTATTACTGCCTTGGTATTGCTTTTATTAGCAAACCATGAAAAATAAACAGTATCCTTAGAAACTGTAAACTGAACATGGAAACATACTCAGCACTGCATTGCTTCTAATTACCTTTAGCAATCCAGAGTACTACAAAGATCACTCAAGCATGATTTGTTTGATGATAATTGTGTATTGTTCAGTTACATAAATCGCTAGAACTGCAACTTAGTTTGAATATTAAAATAGTAGAGTGAGGGACCCAGTTCTATCGTTCTTATCTATTTTGTCCTAGTATAGACTGAACTACAACTGTAGAACTGGGCTTTGTTTTCAAGAGGTTTCTAGCTATTCTTTTGAAGTCTTCTATATGGTAGAAATAGTTCAGCATCTTGAATGGACCAGGGCTGCTAATGGCCTTATCCTGATTGGCTGCAGCAACTGCAGAGCTGGTTCAGGGGTACCCAATATAGCTATTGTAAAACATTCTCCGGATCAGCTCTATAGAGGATATTATACCCATTACATCAACTTCAGTTTTTAAAATTAATACTCCCATGAGAGAAGCATGTCTCTCCCAGTCTCTTGACCTCTGTATATACTTATATACTTACTTTCCCTGCTCCTGCACTCACCCCCTCTGCAGGGGTTGCATGTTGTCATTACTGATTATTTGCTTTACTTAGATTGTTATCTCTTCAGAGCAGGGACATATTTTTTGATTAGCTAGTATAGCTAGTAAGTTAGTGTCACGAATGCCTCCTGTGCTTCATAAATAATGTAATAGCAATACTATGAAATGTAATAGAAAACATTGACTGGTGCAACTAAAGATAATGCAACAATACTGGAAATTGGGTTTTGTCCCGCCTCCTCCTCTGGTACTGAACCTGGCAGATTTGCAATACAGATTTCTACAGTGGAGTTTGACATTTGTACAAAATGTTGTACTTTTCTTCTAGCTGTTTGAATATGCAGGCCCACACGTCTTTAAAATAGATCAACTTTGATTTGTCTTTTTGTTCCTTTGACAGCTCTCTTCTACAGTGGTGTTCTCAACGTGAGCATGGCTTGGTCCCAAATCTAAATGAGTATCTACTGTGCATCTTTTGTTACAGTCTCTCCTGTCAGTGGATGCACTATTGTTACCCAGTGATCTAGGTTCCCAAGTTTCATACAGAACATTTTGTAAAATTCAGTAGAGAACTTATATTTTATTTTATGCTGTTAGAAGAGGCAATTTATTATGAGCACCAATAACTTTTCACTTTACTCTGCAATTTACTATGACCTCAAACCCATGCACTCCCTCAAGAGTATGATGAGGGCTTGATTCAACCAATGTAATTCAAATCTCAAATTGGTCACCTGTTTTTCTTTGAAGACCTCAGTATTTCCCTCATGAAGAAAAGACTGAGCAAAGAACTAAGTGCTTTTTAAATACAAATAAAATTGTTGTAAGACATTTGTTAGAAAACACTTTCTCATTCTGATTGTCATAAAATGGAATTATTTTCAAAGGAATTATTTTTACACCCCCCATGCAGCACAGGAATGATACATGCACTCAACTGGAATGTACACGTTCAGCAGATTACAAACTCTTGAATGATAGGTTACAT